TCTCTTGGACATCAGAGGCAAGTTCAGGCTCAGGGTTCTGGAAGCGGGATGCAGGCTCAGTCCTTAGAAATGCAGGCTGCAAACACACACCTGAAACCCTGCCACAGTCCTCAGGGACATTTCTGTCTGCACTTCCCACAAAGTTCTTTCATTGACATGCTCATGGCAGCAGGAGCTGGAAAAACTGGCCTTGAAAATCACAGAATCTCATTACCTCCTAGCAAAATGCAAGAATATGGAGCTGGATCCAGTATCTGGCAACAGGGCAGTCTGCTTTCCGGCAGCCGTTTTGCATTGGGAATCGTAGGAGGAATATTTATACTATTGGTGTAGGTCAGCTTTGATCCAGTGTGGTTAACACGAGCCCAGCAGGGCCACGTGCCCTGCCTCTCAGGTGGGGGCCACCTACCAGCCAAGTTTCTCTCTCATTCCTTTTGCATGAGACTGTTCTATTTACCCAGGAAGGGGGCCCTTTTGAATACCTATTCTCAGGACAGAGAAACAGGAAAACACAGCAGACAGTCTGGCACTAGAGTACCTTAAAAGGTAAAGCCAAGGGCCTCTAGCGAATGACGCACCTTAGCCCCACCCAGAGACATAGAAAGCAGGAACTATTGTTCCCAAGACACACTGGTGATGTAATCCTTTGTGCAACAGAAAAGAATGTGAGTTTACTAAGCAGAAGCTGCTCTCCCCAGTTTGCATGGTAAGGAAAGAGCCCAGAAACTCGGCCTTGCTCTGGCTACTCCACCCCAAACTATCCCATGTTCTTCCCCCAAAGTCCAGTTGCCTGGCAAAACCTCAAATCACACTAATTCTTAGACCTGGAAGTATATAGGTACCCATGCTGCCCTCTGCCACTCTCAGGTCACTTGCTAAACCAGAACTCAGGCCTGGGCTGCCCAATTGTGTTCATCTCCCCCAGTGCCGCCTGTGGAGGCCCTCTTTTCAGAGCCTGTCCTCAAGTACCTTGTCAGGGCAGCAGAAAACAGGCAGCCCTCACTCACTTCACCCCACTCTCCTATCTTTCTGGTCTGTTTCCTTGTTTATGATTGTCTCCTCCTGGGATAGGAAATCATCTCCAGAGAGCCAGGTCTAGAATGTCTTGCTCATGGTCACACCCCCCAGTGCCAAACACTATGCAAGACCCTGGGAGGCCATTCAAGAAATATTGATAGAGTGAAGGAGTGGGTGAATAAATACTGTTCTCAGCAACTCTACCCAAGAGAGCTGACTGCGGAACCCAGGCTAGACCCTCCTGGAGGAATTTCCCCTTCTCTTGGTTTTCCCCAAGGGCCCTCTGATTTGCCCTCCCCATCCTAACGACCAATAGCAAGTTATCTAACATCAGTCATGTGGCCCACACACCATAAGGGGAGAGTTGCTTCCTAGTATTGCCCCCCCCCCCTTATGCCAATGGGGCCAAACTTGGTTTTTGTTGCGGGGGTGGCCTGGGGAATAAATAATAGCAGCTCAGTCACTACAGAACTTTTTATTGTAAAGGAGGAGTCCCTGGAAAACAGGGGTCCGGGCAGCTCAGAGCTGCAGGGTGCTGGGTGCAGGGAAGCCACAGGCCACGCCTACTCCATGGCACCAGCGACCAGACCTCCTGCACTGGGGACAGATCTGTCACAGTTCTGTAAGCTTCGTTCCAAGACGTTACGCTCCGCAGCGAGGACTACTGACTGAGAGGAAGAGGTGGAGAGAGGGCCAGCTCCATGGGAGAGGGCATCTGAGACAAAAGGGCCAGACTTGAGGTTCCTCTGGGGGCAGAAGTTGGGGTTCCTCGTCTTCTCCGGAGCTGGCGAGAAGGGTTCAGCATCCGCGGGAGCCGCTGCAGCTGAAGCCCCCGTCGCAAGCTGGGCGGCCGCAGCGCGCACAACCGCCGCTGGGGGCGCTCGCGTCCAGGGCGCCGGAGCCAGCTCGAGGCGCCAGCAGGCGGGAGGGGCTCGAGGCCAATGTCCTGCTGGCCGCAGCGCTGCCCAGGGCTGGGCAGAGAGCAGTGTGAGAAGGAAGGAAGCCCTCCGGTGCCCGCCCCGCCCAGAAGACCGACGTACAGGGCACAGATACCCAGACCCTCCCCACCACACTTGTGCAAACTGCCCCCAAAGAAACAGATTCACAGAGCCTTCCCCCAACACACACAAAAAAACCGCCCCCAAGAGAAGAAGAGTCCCCAACCAAGGCAAGCTGCACAGAGACGGCAGGCACAAATGTAAGGACAGAAATACCCTTCAGGTTGGAAGCATCCAAAATGGGGGTGGGAGGATACAAGAATTGGCTTCGGCGTAAGGTACATTGTTTACTTACCCACACTCCCTGCCCCAAATCCCAGACCAAGCCTGTGGGGAGAAGCAAGAAGGTAAGTGAATCTATATACTAAGTTTGATACTCTCCATTCTCCAAGACGGACGCTCTGACCCTCCGCAGACAGCCAAGAGACTTCCATCCTGCAAGCTCCATGGGTCTGTCTGATCCCCACAGCCTTTTCGTCAAAATTCCTTCCAGACCTTTAAACTCAGTTCCTCCTGCTTTCATCCATATGACTTACTTCAGTGGATGACTTCTTGGAGGAGAAGAAAGCAAAAGATCGCCCCCTTTCTTTAGCCTCAACTGATCTTGGAAACTAGAAGGGGGCATTTTAAACTTATAAGGGAGACCACAGAGGAGACAGCTCAGTGATCTAAAGAATGTTGTGAAGCCTCACACCATCACTTTTTACCTGTGTGTCTTTGAGGTTGTCATTTACCTGCCCTGAGACTTGTCCCTTGTGTAGGGGTAGTAATTCCTCCCCCCCTGGGCTTTTGCAGGGGTTAAAGGAGATGATCATTGCAGCATGCCTATGTGGATCCCGCCTGCTGGGAGTTCACGGCTGTCTGCCCCTCAGCCTGGCCTACCCAGTTCACACTGGAAATGCTTGGTTTCCTATTGCTACCTACAGTGACAAGCCAGCCCTACCTGTTCCTTTTAAAAAAGCATTCCCAGGCCTGAGGGAGAGAGGCAGAGATGAAGGCACCTCACACCAGAAACCTCATCCCCCCACCCTTGGTCTCTGCAGCTGTCTTGATGGACAAACTGGCCCCTGCTGTCTGACATGGGGGTGGGGGAGGGGCAAGATACTTGTGGGATCACCCCCCTCCCCAGTGCCAAGGGTCCTCATTAGCAGAGCCCTTTTGTTCCCAGGCTGTAAGAAGGTGGGGAGACTGGCTCCAGAAGAACCAGTTCCCCTCCAGGTGACCCCTCCCCACTAACAAGGGTTGTGGCCGCTCCGCCATGCCCTGGTCACCCACAGCTATCAGAAGCACCTTCTCCCCTCACCGGCTCTCCTCACTCTCCAGAAGTCTGCGGTAGGTGGCGATCTCGAAGTCCAGGCCCAACTTGACAATCATGAGCTCCTGGTACTCGCGCAACTGCCGTGCACTGTCCTGCTTGGCCCGCTGCAGGGCGCCCTCCAGCCAGGCCAGCTTGCCCTTAGCACCTCCCGAGGCGCCCTCCTCCTGCAGGGCTGCCAGGTCCTTGGCTTTCTCTAGTTCACAGGGCTGAGGGTGAAGGAAAACCAGGGACAGAAGACATCCTTGGCCTCCACTCTTCTGCCCTCAAGGATTCAGATCTTTCTCAGGGGTGAAAGGGCCAGTGAGGGATTGGAGATTGTCCATGATTGTGAGGAGAGGTAACAGGCCTGTGCTAGGCCTGTGTCTAGACTGCAGGATACAAAACAATCCACCCACCCCTGCAATCGGGGTGGAGATTTGGGGCCAGCCATCTGGGATGACTGAGAGAGAGCGCTTTGCAATCTAGCTTGGTGACACCCCTCATGGGAGCTAGGATCCAGGAAGCATCAGATGCTACTGGTGTTGGTGTTTCAGGAGGAAAACCAACAGAAAGAATACCCTCCCCCACAGACACTGAAGTATGGGGTCTCTGAGAAAAATAATAATAGTAACAAATACTGAAGCCTGAGGCAAGCCTGCTGCTTGGGGAACGGGCTGCCTCACCAGGGAGGTGAACCATGACAGGCCCACCCCACCCACCCTGCCAGCCCTGCCCCCTTAAAGTCATCAGTGCCTGGACAAGAGCAAAGCTTCACCGGGAATGTCCCTCAGGCCTGAGACACTTGCATTTGCAGAAAGTTAGACAAGATTGGGAGCAGGAGGAGGAGCCCTTCCAGGGGGTGCGTAGCAAAGAGGGATAGTGGGGAAGAAAAGAGGGCTGGGAGGGAGAGAGATTAGGGGAAAGGAAGCATCCATCAGGATCCTCTTCTTCCTAAGGCCCAAAGCTCAAGTCACAAACACAAATGTCTGCAGGGGCCTGCCTGGCTAGAAGCACTAGAGGTGAAGGCCCAGTGTTAAACAGACATCAGTATATCCAGTTCCACAGAGAAACACACTCTCTTCCATTTCCCTGATGACACCAGGAACCTTCTCGAGCTTTCTATCTTTTGGTTCTCTAGGCAAGGGTTCTACGCCTTTTCTCTTCCACAAGGATCACACAGTGAAGCCAGGGTGTGAAATGGCAAAGGGTCTTCGGCCTAGGTACCCAAAGATGCAGTTGGGAGTGGTAGGCACTGCAGCACCCCAGAACTTGTACCCTACGAGAAGAAGATGGAGAAGAAAGAGATGTCTCTTCTCCAGCCTAATGTTACCGGCTTAATATGGCCAGATCTTCATGTTTTAAAGAAAACAGGAATTCTAGGTAAAAATCTTGCAATTTCTGAAAGTGGGCAAAGACCCCCAAAAGGCACGGAAATATACAAACCCATATGAACATAACTATACAAATAATCATATTCATACATATTTTTTATATGCTAGTTACCCACATGACGTACCTAGAGTTCCAGGCAAAGGTAGGCATGCAGCCTGCTTCTGTTTGCTCACACATTTACAAAGAGAAAACTCTTGGAGGGTTTCTATCTAAGGGATGGGAGGGTCTGGAATAGTTGTCATAAACAATGGGCACCCTCCCAATGTCACCAGCCTGCCACCCCTACGCCCACACACCTGACCCTTAGCACCATCCACCTCCACAGCCAGCTGCTGAATGGCCTGGTTAAGCCTGTTCAGATCCTCCTTGCTGTGCCTCGGGCCCTGCGTGTGCTTCTGTGTGGCCATCTCCATCTCCTCACACTGGGGGTGGGCAGGAGAAGAGAGCAGAGGTCAGGGAGGAGAACGAGGAGACCAGGACCCATGGCTCCGGTGCCCACCCTCCATGGTCGTCACAGACGGCCAGCTCACTTCTATGGTCATCTGTATGTCCACCTAAAAAGGGGCTGGCAATCTTTCTTGTCTCCAGGGTCGTTGGGAGAGCACAAGGCACCAGGCAGCCCAGCCAGGAGATGCCAACGCCAGTCTGCACTCCACACCAATTATTACAGTTTATCTCATGTGACCACCAAAATGAATATTAAAAGCACTCGATAAAATTTTAAAATGATTCCTAATTTTAAAAGTACTTTTTTCAAATCTAGGAATATGAGGAAACCCACTTAACTTGATGAATGCGATAAATCAGAACCCAGTGACGGGGACCGCAAGCACCAGCTCCTTTCTCCAACCAAGACTACTATGGGGAGCGCGGCCTACAGGAGATGAAGTTGGTGGCACTTTTGCCTCCATGTGCAATACGTAAACAGCTTGGGCACAGTGCCTGACACTTTTCCTAATCTTTTACTGCTACCATCTCATTGGTGCTTCATGTCTATCTGTGAAGTAGGCCTAGTAGAGGCAACTGTCTGTCACCTTTCCCTGAGCAAGCAGGTGGGTACTCATTCCATCTACTGTGGGCACAGAAGTAGGGGCTAAGAGGTGTTGAGCCAGAATGCATGTCTTAAAAATCTTTTTAGTTGTAGTTGGACACAATACCTTTATTTTGTTTATTTACTTTTATGTGGTGCTGAGGATCAAATCTAGTGCCTCACCTGTGCTAGGCAAGTGCTCTACCACTGAGCCTCAACCCCAGCCCCAGAATGCATTTTATACCCTGAGGGACAGTAAAGTCACTCACAACCCAGACAGTGGGAACCTCGCCCACAAATTTCTGCTATGTCCCCACTCCCCACCCGTTCCTGCTCCTTTTCCCAAAAATTGTAGACACAGCAGAAAAGCTTGTGCCTGACTGGGTCCCACAGATCAGAGTGGAATCTAAGCCCCCTTGATCCCTGTGTGACCCATGAGTCACCTGGACAAGTCTCACCATGTGAAAGGAGCTGTCGTTTCCTCCAGTTTCTCTTGAACACCAAAGCCCAGCTCCAGCACCCAAGGAGCTCCAGAATCCTCACCACTGAGGCCTCTCCTTCCTGGGGGCTTTGTGACGTCACCTTGTTTCAATCGCAAAATTCTGACCTGGAGGTCTCAGAGATGGGATGGAAAGAGGCCATCCTGTGGCTGAGATGGGAAAATGGAAGTCCCTGGATTGAAGTGGGAAAGTGAAGGAAATTGGAAGAGAGAGAAGGCTACTTCAGATGGGGGAAAATGTGTGAAGTTAGGGAGTCTGGGCTTGTGGCATGTACAATGGGGAGCTACAGAAGGTGCTTGAGCAGGAAAGTGGCCTGATGTGGAATGTCATTTACGAAAGCCAGTCTGATAACAATGTGGAAGATACAGGAGGGTAAGAAACTGGACTGGGGATGGCAGTTCCCAGAGTTGGCAGGAAATCTGGAGTGAGGCTCTGACTAAACCGGTGGAGGGAGCCAGGACCAGAGAGCACAAGCTGCCACTGATATTTTCTTTTTTTATATAAATTTCTCATACTGCAAAAGAGCATCTGTAACATATGTTCAATGATGTAAATAGCAACAATAACATAACAAACCTGTGCGCTTACCAGTACCTCCTTGGGACCCATCCGTGGCCCTGCCCCTTCCTCTAGGATTTTATGTTAATCTTCTCCTTGCCTTTCTTTGTTTTATCATATGCAAGTATCCCTAAACTATTACCTGATTTCACCTACCTTTAAGCTTTGTAGGTGAAACCAGGTAATAGTTTAGGGATACACTGTGTGCTTTTAAAAACAACTTGCTTTTTCCTCTCTCGAGTTGTAATTTGAGATTTATCTCTTTTGATGAAGCTTTGTTTATTTTTCAGTGTTGTGTAGCATTCCAAATGTGCTTATTCATTTACCTGTTAGTAGTGCATATGTGCTTTTTGGTTTCTTGTAACAAACCACGTTGTTACAGATATTTGTACTTATCTGTTGGCACACTTCAACAAGAGGTTCTTAGGGCTACTGGCAATCAAACAGTTTTTTTTTTTTTATACCAGGGATTGAACCCAGGGGTGCTTAACCACTGAGCCCATCCCTAGCCCATTTTTATTTTTTATCTTGAGGCAGGGTCTAGCTAAGTTACTTAAGACCTCACTAAGTTACTTAGGCTGGCCTTAAACTCACGATCCTCCTTCCTCAGCCTCTGGGATTAAATGTTATTTTATTATAATTTGGAATAATATATGTGTGTGTATGTATGTGTATGGGTATGTGTGTATGTGTGTATATGCCTGAATCACTACCCACACACATACACAATACATAAACTGAAATTATATTATTTATAATATAAAATTATTTGTTAAAAAACTGCTCATCCCTACTGTATATAATGTACTTTGATATTCTGACTAATCTCATTAACACATTTTTATTTTCTATTTATGTTCTTGTGTTTTAGTTTCATTTCTTATAAACGGCATTTTACTTGTCTTTTTTATTTAGTAATATAACGAAAAGGAAAGATCCATGAATATTTTGCCAGACCAAATGTATTACGGAGTTGCTAGCAAGCCACCTACAGGCTCCTGCCCCTGCCTCTCCTGTGCTTACCAGAGCTCGTCACTTTCCTGAATGGTGCTATATCCCTTTGATTTTGTTTTGTTTTGTTTTATCAAATACATGCATAACTAAAAATGTATTTTTTAGTTTTTTTCCTAACCTTTTTTATATAGAGAAAGCATTTTCATGATTACTATTGAAGTTTTAATATCTCTTTAAATTACAAGTGTTCTTTGTATTTCTGGATATTACTTCTTTGTCACTTCTATGTACTACAAATATCATCTTCAAGTTTATAAATTGTCTTTCGGTTTCTTCATGGCCTATTTTGATAAATAAAAGTTCTAAATGTAATGTATCCTTAATTTATCAATCTTTTATTTTGAGCATAGTACGTTTCTTGTTTTAAAATCTTCCCTATACCAAGGTCCAGTGTTTTACTTCTAAAGTTTTAAAGTTTTGCTTTTAACATTTATGATTTTAACTTGTTTAAAATTGATTTTGTGTATAATAAAGAACAGAGATCCAGTTTTTTCCTGTGGATATATATAACTATGTATGGGTCCTCCTTTCCCTGCACTCTGTTATATGTCAAATACACACACAAAAAAAAAAAAAACATTGTTACATTAAGGTTATATTAAGTTTATGCTCTTGTTTATCAAAGCTTATGCACAAACTTGTTTATATATGTATATAAATGTAGGAGCTATCTATTTTGTTCCATTGGTTAATTTGTCCATCCTTGTATGAGTACCCCACTGTCCAATTATTGTTGCTTTATAATAAATAAGTTAAGATTCCTAAAAGAAGAGTAGTCCACTCATTCCTTTTTATTGGTACCTTGGCTATTCTTTCCCTTTGTTCTTCCCCATAAATTTTAGAACCAACTCATCAAGATTTATGTTGTTTGGAACTTGATTATAGTCATATCCACCCTGTAGATAAGCTGAACCAGAGTCAATATCTTGTCATAGCAATGCTTTCTATCTATGAACATGGTACATCTTTCATTTAGTTAGATCTTTTTTTTTATCCTTAATTTTCTATAACACTTTTACGATGTTTATATTTCTCAGGGTATAGGCCTCTTCTATATTCATTATATTTATTTCTAAGTATCTTATGGATTTTAAATCATTTTATCAATTTTATTGAGATATAATTTGCATACATTTTAAAAGAACAATTCAACAAATTTTGACATTTCCATCACCTTAGAAAGTTCCCTGATGCCTTTTGCCATCGGTCTCTCACCCCATTCCAAACCAACATTGATCTAATTTTTATCACTGAAGACAATTTTTTTCTAGTTCTAGAACTTCAAATGAATGGAAGCATACAGTCTATATTTTTATTTCTTTTTTCCATTTAGCAAAATGTTTTGTAGATTCACCCACATTGTTTCATGAATGTACTAGTAGTTCATTTTTTTTATTGCCAAGTGATATTCCATTGTCTGACTGTGTCCCAGATTGTTTATCTATTCATCTGTTGATAAACATTTGGGTTGTTTCTAGTTTGGAGCGATTATGAATAAAATCCCTATGAAATTCATGTACAAGTGTCTGTATAGATCTGTTTTTCAGTTCTCTTGGATAAATGTCCCAATCACTGTGCCATTTGATAAATGCTCATTTAACTTTAAAAGAAACTGTCATACAGGGGCTGAATGTACCTCAGTGATAAAGCACTTGCCTAGAATGTGTGCTGCCCTGGATTCAATTCCCAGCACTACAAAATAAAATGAGATTGGCATACAGCTCTCCAAGGTAACACTAGCATTCTATACTCCATAACATTCCAGCTGATTCACACTTGGCATTGTCAATCTTTCAAATTTTAGCTTTTTATTACTGGGGGGAAATCTAAACAAACCCTCCAGCTTCAAAACACCTAATTGACTTAAAAATTCACAGCTGGGCAATGCATTATTAGTCTCACACTGTTTTGCTGTAGAAAACAACTCTGATGTATGTGTTATGATGATTATAGTTCACTAGGTTGCTCTACAGGGACTTAATGGCCATTCTTGCTAAAAACACTGACTCATTTCTTGAGCCTAAAAGTCAGGAATACGAGGTGGGTACAGTAGCACATACCTGTAATCCCAGCGACTTGGGAGGCTGAGGCAGGAGGATGTAAAGTTCAAGGCCGGCCTCAGCAACCTAGCAAGACCCTGTCTCAAAATAAAATAAAAAATAAAAAGCAAAAAGGGCTGAGGGTCATGGCTCAGTAGTAGAGCACCCCTGGTTTCAATCCTCGTACTGTGGAAGGAAAGGAAGGAAGGAAGGAAGGAAGGAAAGAAGGAAGCAAGGAAGGAAGGGAGGGAGGGAAGGAGAGAGGGGACCAGAAACACCAGACCATGAAAAGAGGTGGCAATCAAGTTCCTAGAAGTATTCCCCAAAAATATTTGAATATTCCTCCCCTTTATTAGCCTATCTCTTTCCCTCATAATTCCTATACCATATCTGTAATCTCTCAACTCCCTGCAGTCGAGAAACAGATTTGCCAGCATGGACTCCCACTTCTCCATTCTTTGGCCATGAACAAAGCCTTTCTTTCTCCCCAACTCATCTCTCAGACTGTTTTTTCCATGGGGTGAGCTTCTGAGCCTTGATTCCATAACAGGAAGTGTGAAGAAGGTTCACTGTGCACTGGCTGCCATCTTGTCTGGGTCCACCAAGACAGGACACACTCATATGCATCCTGTTACACGAAGTGGATTTGTTACTTACACACCAGTTGCAAAGAACAATGGAAGCCTAAAATCTCTTGTGAGCCCAAGGCTCAAGAAGCTGCCTAGAGGGAATAGAGTCTCAAACTGCATATGTGCCATTTGCACCACAGATGAAGGACCTCTAAAGGCAGCTGCCCTGGGTTCTACACCTCAGAGGTGACATAAAACACTGAGCTAAAATATTGAAGGACATTCTGCTGGGAGGACAGAAGCCAGGCTGTTCCTCAGCCACTCCCTGTCTCAGGATGCCGGGTTCTCAGCACATTCTGCAGTTTTTCTTGGAACTTCAAGCAAGAAAGGGAGAGAACTGCATCAGACCACGGACATCCAAAGAACTGCCGAGCAGTGGGTGTTACATATTTTCTCCTTGTGGTTTTAATTTGGATTTCCTTTATGACTAATAATGATGAGCAGCTTTTCACGTGCTCCTTGGCCCTTAATATATTTTCTTTTGTAATAGGTTGATTCAAGTCTTTTGCCCACTTTAATTGAGTTGTTTTTCTCATTATTATTGAGGTCAGACTTCTTTATTTCATGTTTAATATAATTATTGATGACTAGATTTAAGTCAACCAACTTACTGTTTCCCATAATCCCTTCTGTTTGCTTGTTTTGGCTTTGCTTTGATTGTTCTCTATCATTCCTTTTCTGCCTTCTTTTTGGATTAATCAAATATTTTAAAATATTTAATCATATTTATTTTATTGGCTTTATAGCAATATTTTATTTTGGTAA